ATTTTCCACACGAAGCACCACCTACTGGAGGGAAGTGGGAATTGTTTTGCCAACAAGTAACAATAAGCTTGAAATTAATGTGTATTTCAGACGGAGCAACAGTTACATTAAATGTGGAAGTGTAATTAAACACTATTAATTGTTCACGTTATAATAGTTAATGCAAAAATGTAGTAAGTTGTAAAAACTGCAGTATGAAAAGATAAAAACATGAGAAAAATATTACTAGTCATACAGTGAGTGAAGGATTTATATTGGTATGGTTTATAATGTCACAGTGTGAAGGGAAATCTGTATTAGAAAGAGTTGCACAGATTAAAGTTTATTAGATAGTGATATGCATATTTACCAAAAAAGGCACTTATATAAAAAAGAGAAAAAAGGAAAGAAATTTGCCAGTAATTTTTTGAATTGCATAAATGACAATTAAAATCTAAAATCAAAGTGTATCTTCAACAGATCTCAACAGATATAATGTAAAAGCTGCGGATGACCACTAGGTAGAGGTGTTTGCCCACGTATTGCATTGCATCCAGCATCATCAAACATTCAGGATTAGCTCAGATTCACCCAACATTAGTACTTGAGTGCGGCACTTGAAGTGACATTCTTAAGCTCTAGCTGATTCTTTTGGCAGTTTCTTATGTCATCCGTTCTGTTCTTCCTTCAGGACGGCTTACGCTGTTTTGTAATTAATCGCATGCAAAAGACTCAGCAACCGTCCTCTGAACACTGTTTACTCTGCACTGACACTGCACACACACACTCCTTGTTTTAGTCTTGTTGTTATTATTAATTGGCTTTTGCTAATAAGAATTGTTTCATTGATTGATTGGTTGAATGGTAAGTAAACCGTTTTTTCCTTCCCCTCTTTCAGGGCGCAGGCCTTCCAGGACTAGCTGTAAGTAACTTGTTCAGTGTAACACACTGTAAGTGGGCTGGATGTGTACATGTTCTTCAGCGTATTTTGTCTCTGTTTCTTTGTCCAGGGTGTTCCTGGGCCAATCGGACTTCCTGGAGAAATTGGACCAACTGGACCAAAGGTGAGGTCTTAAGAGTTACTGTAATACATGAACCCAAGTCATCAAAATCAATGGAAGAAAATATATGGAAATGCACTAGGTCATTGGACATGATACAAAAGGTTTACACAGGCAAAGAAACACCATTTTGATAGGTTGTATGTGGGTTTTTTTTCTGATTTTTCTGTTCCATCTTTCAGGGAATCTTGGGACCACCTGGTGCTCCTGGACTTCCTGGACCTCCTGGCAAACCGGTAGGTGTCAGAGCACTCTCACTCATCCACAAAGTGTCTGCCTATTAAACCATAAAATCCTGGAATAATGCAATAATATGAAGGTTTAATAAGTAATATGTAAGCTGTAAAAGTGTCAAACGATATGACTTACTGCGTTTAATATAGCCTTAGTGTCAGCAGGGATGCTGCCCCCTTTCTTTATTTTTCATGATGTGTTTTTTCTGACGTTGCATTTAGTTAATAATTACCAGTGGAATACAGAACAGTATTAATGCAACTCAGAGCTGCTGCATATGAACAAGTAGAGAAGTGATTGTTAACTAGCTCTGCGTTAGAGCACACATTGTCCTCAAAGGGCCGTGTGGCTGCAGGTATTTGTTTCGACCGAGCAGAAGCACAGACGGAATGAACTGAAATGAGTTGATGAAATGTTTGAAGTCAGGTGTAGGAATTCTGGTTTTGTGTAAATCTTGGTTGTGTTTGTGAAATATGATACTTTGCTCAGCAATATCTACAGTATTTTACTGGCTTATCATTAATATTATTGGCCTAGCAACAACTTTATTTTTAGGCTAAAAATATATATTTTTTTTGTTTAAAAAAACATTAAAATGTTTAGTAGAAGGAGTTCATATCTTTTATTTGCTGTTGAGCAATTAGACCAGAAGACACTAAATGGTGAGACGTCACACAGGTTTGTGCTGCATTTCCCAGCGGTATAATTTCCAGAAGAGGAAGGGGAGTGCCTTTAGCGAGAGTGATGTTACTCGCCCAGGGGAACGTGCTTGTTTAGCTTCAGTGCTTTACTAAGGTAAATAAACCTTCATCAGATCAGTGGGCTGTCCCATCTGCTTGTAGCAGAAACCCATCAGTTGTACTTTTTTTTTGTTTTTGCCCCCTGCTTTCTGTAAACATACTCTGGTTGAAGATGAAAGATGGATAAAAATACAGAGAGAGAGAACACCAAAGAGCAGGATCATGTCCTGCCGACAGGAGTCAAAATCTCAAAACCTCTGTCATCTGTGACGAGGTGAGTAAGTAGATCACTCACATTGATTTCTTCCTGCATCTGTCCATCTAGGGTCCTCCAGGGAAATTTATCGGCGGGGAAGAAGGAAGTGCAGAATTCCAAGTAAGATCTAAAGACATTTCAAACCGGGCAAATGTGCTGTACGTGCTTCCACCTCCATAACCTGCCTTTTTCTCTCTGTCAACAACAGTGTCCTCTCAACTGTCCAGCAGGACCAAAGGGACCTCAGGGTCTGCAGGGAGTTAAGGTAAAACACTGACTTCATACGAAACGATGTTATTGATGAAACTGTCGTGGCATCATTTTTAAATATCTCGCTCCACAGGGACACAAAGGGCGTGCTGGGATTCTCGGCGACTCTGGCAGCATTGGAAAAATGGTAAGTTGAGACATTTTTGCTCAACATATGAATTTATGTAGTATTTCAGTGTTGCAGTACATATAAACAGTTTTGAAGATTTGATAAATACTTTTATTGTTATCTATTTTGAATAGAAATATTGAGAGCAGTGTCAGGTGTCGTTGCAGTTTTCAAATCCTGCAAAGTGAAAACACAGAGAAAAGAAAGGAAGAGCACCACCTAGTGGGAAACGAAAAACAAGATTATCATCACAACATGTATTGATGTGTGTTTGTTCAGAGAGAGAGAGTGTTCAGCACACAATGAGAGCAGTGTAGTTCCCTCAGCAGCCCAGGCCTACACCAGCCGGCCTTACTGTACATATATGCTTCAACAAAGAGGTTTGAAGTGTGACTTAGATTATAAAGCCTGGATAGTAGAAGCCCTGCTTACACACCGTGGAAACCACTAGTTGCTCTGTGTATTTGGTGCAAGGCGATCTGTTGCTGGGGTGTACACATCCCAGACTCTCGCAGACTCATCTGCCATTCAATACAAGCGAATGCAAGGATTACAGCTCTAATAAGGCCCCTTGAGATGCATGAGTGCTACTAATCTGGTCGTGATTAGTCAGGCCTGGCCCTAGCTGTGCATTGAACAGCCAGATGAAAGGGCTAGAAAAGACTCAGGTACAAAGAGGTGAGAATGAGAGAATCAGTGATCACGCAGCCCGCTCACCTTGCTGTATCAAGCAGGGCTAATGAGCACACGGTGGGCTCCGAGGAAGAGCCCAGCCAAGCCCCGGGAGTTAGCCTCTGATCCTCCCACACAACGAGTCGTCTGGCAGCACTTAGATACTCTAAATACTCGGCACATTGAGTCTTTTGGACGACCTGCCCTGTTTTCTCGAGGACAGTAAGCTCGATGTTGGGAAGCTGCTAATAAAAAATGTACAGTTGCTTCAGTATTGCAGCTTTATCTATGAGTGAGACGCTACAGACCCAGAAGGCTAGTGAGCTAAGATATGCCTCGCTTTTATCAGCTCAGCACTTAAAATAAAAAACAGGATTAGGAGGTGAATACATTGTTTCAACATATGCATTTTTAAATTTTTCTGATCTCATTTCATTTACTTTTTTCTTTTGCAAAGGAAAAGCAAATCATAAAACCAGTAGTTGGAGGTTGTGAATGTGTGCTACTGTAATTGGAAGCATGAACATGTGCAGAATAAAATGACCTAAATCAGCCTCATCTTTTAATCTTTTCCACCAGGGTGTCAAGGGAGAAGCCGGCATCTCCGGGGAACAAGGAATCCCAGGACCTTCGGTACGGCGAAGATTTAACTACTAAGTTTAACGGCTTTATAATATACTGAGAGAAGCAAGTGTTACGATCTGAAAGGTTTGGTGTTGGACTTTGTGAAGTAATTGTTTTTTTTTTACTCTTTTTTCAGGGTCCGATCGGTCTGAGGGGTTATCCAGGAATGATGGGTCCAAAAGGAGAGGCAGTAAGTGCTGTTTGTTTGTTTTTGAGCCGCACTGCTATTGTTGTTAGATGGTTACTGATAAAACATCAAAGCCTGTGCTCTCTATATCAACATCATTCATGGGCAGCAATGAAGCCGTTGTGTGTATTAGAAGCAAACTCTCACAAATGTTTCAAAGTGCAAGTATATGCCCCAAAACGTGCTAACAATTAAAAAATGTTTACTCAAAACTCCAAAAATATCTATCTGTACATGTGAAATTGTCACTAAAACAAGCAAGGCTGTAGTCTTACTATCAGGAAAAAATGAGAAGTCCCAGAAATGCCTTAAAATGGTAGTTAATGGGCCAAAATGTGTTACAGAGTTGATAATTAGTGCTTAGGAGACATATGCTAACATGTCAAAGTGTCAGCAAAAGGATGCTTGTCATGAGATGTTGGCCTACTATTGTTTAGAGAGAGAATTTTAAGAGGGAATTGTGTGGCGGAGGATGAGGAGAAATGGATAAAAAAATAGATTTATGTGGAAAACTAGATGTATTGGTGATGATAATCAATACTGTAATGTATGTAGTCTGACAGGAGAAAGTGTAACTGTGAACACAGAAGGAAAATAAGATCTTCTTACCTGTTAGACATCTTGAAAGAAATGGCATCAAACAAAATCAAACTTTATTTAATGTGGTGTCTGTGTAGGTTCTCAGTCATCCAGGTCATCTTATCCAAAAGTAATTAAATTGAGGTTAACTGGACGGAGTAGGTTTCTTAAAGAGATTCAGCTCTCATCCAAGAGGCTTCTTCACTTCTGAAGAAGTATGTAATGTCATCTTTGCACGTGTAAAAAGTAATTATAAATATGCTGTGCATCATGAGAACTCGAGTCAAGGACACTTTATTTTTTCATAACATTCATTACAGTTTTTGTTAATGTTTTCTAGGATGTATTTGTTGTAATCTGTTTAAATAACAACATAACATACATTCAGACAAATCTGGACACATTGCGGTAATGAGAAGGTTGTCATGAAGTGCAGTCAAATGTGAATGAAATATAATAAATGATAAATGATATTTTATCTTTCTCCTCAGGGGCCCCGCGGTTACAAGGGCATCGGCGGACCTGTGGGAATTCCTGGCCCTCCCGTAAGAACACACAACTAGGCGTACTTGTTAAATTAAGTGTCTTCTACAGTAGTGTCCTAATCTTTTTTTTTTTGTTTGTTTTTGTTGTTTGCAGGGTGAGGAGGGACCTCGGGGGCCACCCGGAGAGGCAGGAGACAAGGGCGACAAAGTGAGTCTATCGGCGGAACAGTAGACAAATGCAGAAAGTGGTTTTCAGTAGTTGTTGGGCCACAGCACATGAAATATAATGATGCATTGATGTTAATTTCCCCACAATTTACTGCTGCAGTAATGGAAGAAAAACACAAAGAGATTCTTAAGCAGCTGTTAGTATGTCTTTGTAGTTTCTGTAGCCATCTGCTGCCGTCTAATGAAAGCGTATGAAGTCGTTATGGTGTCTGTCATAGGCAGACAAGAAATGTTTTTTGCATAAGATGTGTTCCGTTGATGTTCTGCGGCCCAGTGGTTGAGAACCACCAGAGTAGACGGTGTCTTCTTTGCGCTTTGTGACATCACTAATGCTGGTTTTGTCCATCTTTCACAGGGCAGCAGAGGAATCCAGGGCCCACAGGGAATAACTGGCAAAAAGGGGGAGAATGTGAGTGAGAGCACATCTGTTCAGTTGTGCTGCACAGTGGCATTGGAGAGTGTGCCAAACAAAGTCCACTGACACATCTGTCTCCTATTTCAGGGTCTGCCAGGTATAGACGGGAAAGACGGCACACCTGGTACTCCTGGAATCAAGGTAAGGCTGGCCAGATGATCAAAGACGACTAACTTTAATCCCAATAAAAGAAGGCAATTAATCGTTTTGTTCCCCTTTTCGGCAGGGCGGCCCCGGCCAGGCCGGTATGCCCGGTCCTCCCGGTCCTCAGGGGGCAGCGGTGAGTGATCTTTGAGCGCATTGCTGGCAGATTTCATTAGAAGATTTGTCACCACGGGCATCCAGGGCGCATACAAATGAGCCTGCCTGTAAATGTTTATTGTCACGGTGGTGTGGTGTAGGGAGTTATTGTTTTGTCTGTATAAATCCAATAAGGCCAGAACACAGATGGAGGGAATGCAAAGCAGTCTGTAAATTTTACTTTGTTTCATTTCCTGGGCTCCAGTCCAGGTAAACAGTGACCCTGTGACCGAAGTTTTTGTTGTTGTTCTTGTTTCTTGTATTGAGGGATTTATCACAATCAGACCTATGTGTGTGTCTGGGCATTGTTATGACCAAGGGTTAAGGTGGCACAAGATGCAAACTTTCCTATGTGGCGATTGCAGTTAGGCCAGTACTTTTGCAACTCAAACACCATAACTTAAGGCTGCTTTGTGCTCTGCTCTGTTATAGCAGCCCACACACGATCAGTCCAAGGAAGCCTGCTGTGTGGTTGCAAAGTCTCCCACAGCAGCGACTTATTTCAGTCATTATTATTACTATTATATCAGGGCTCAGTTATATTACCATCCACAGCCTGCACCTGTATCCACACAGTAATATCCACATCTATCACCCAGCAGCATTTTGAGGTTACAATATGGAGGTCGTGCTCCCTGTATTTCAGCTGTACGGATAAGACTGTACTGTCAGAATGCAACAGTGGTTTAATACGGTATTAGGACTTTATTAGATAGTTAGAAGAACGTGCAGCTGAATCTGCCAGCTGCCGTGAAAGCAGGAGGCTTATATGGAAATGCTCTTTGTTTTGTTAATACTAAGTACAGCTAGGACACACAGGAGTTGATGTAGGTGATCTTAACTCCCATTCTATGTCTTCATAGGGTTTACCTGGCAGTCCTGGTGCTAAAGGTGGAGCAGGAGATAAGGTAATGTGAATAGTGACTGTACGGGTGAAATAAAAATGAAGCAGTGTATTTTCCTATTTGCATATGCAGTAATCATATCGTCACTTTATGTGCATAGGGTGAGCCTGGCCTTCGAGGT